ATTAAATAATAAAAGATCATTAATCATTATTTTATCTGATGAAAAATTCCATTTAAATTAAAAGAGTAATGAATTTTTAAGAATTAGGCATATACTGAATACTTTTATCGAGAGACTGATAAAGTATCATCAGGCAATTACTGTATTAACAAAAGATTTTTTCAAAGGTAAAATTTGTGTGTGAAGTGAAGATTACTTAAAACTGCGTTTTAAGATTGACAGTTTCAATGAGAAAAATGATTAGAACAAAATACACACATTTATATTTTTAAAATCACAGATTTAGATATTTAAAATATTTATATCACAAAGATTGACCTGAGCAATTATTTACTTGCACAGGATAGCCACAATAATATTGTAACAGTCTGAAAGGTGATTTTTAAAAATGAAAGGAACATTTATACAAAACATTTCTAAGTTAATAGCTATAATCAATGATAAAAACACTAATATAACTATTATTAAGCTAATAGCAGAACTTACTAAATTGTATTAATGATACTAATTTACTTGACTAGTATTTCCTAGAATAAGAATGGAGCTGATGTGCTGGATCTTGAATATGTATCACTATCATTGTATCTAAGCAACAAAGACTGAATTTTTAAAGTTTTTATTCTAACATATTATACAACATGATGTTTGAATTTATGTGACTTTTTTTTTATAATTATTTTTCAAAAAATTTGAGATTATAACAGTTTAAACACAATTCTCTAAAATATATGTTCTACTTCATTATGAACACACTGAACTATTTTCCCCATGCATGCATGCTTGCGTATACTAATGAATATCATATCCCTTATTCTGAAAAGACTAATTTATTCCAGAAATGCATTATTACCAGGTATTTTAGAGATTTCTACTTAATTATTAAAAATTTAAATCAATTTTCTAATTATTTAAAAATTATTAAAGTGAGAATGAGTGTGTAGTATAAAAAGTTAATAGTAGATTTCATATTTCTGAAATTTCAATTATAAAATTTTTTAAAATCAGATATTGTTCTTGGAACATATTAATAGAAATTATGTATTTTTATATTACAATCATAATACAACTTTATAATGGTGGTTATTCATTATAGACAGAATTTCATTAGATGTGAAGAGTTGTATGCTATGTTAATAAAATTTTTCTTGGGGAGAACACTATGTAGTCAAATTTGCAATGCTAACTATCTGCTATTGCAAATTTCCTTACAAATCTCAGAGAATAAGGTCTCTATAATTTTTTATTTCCATTTGTTTGGTATTGCTTATGTAAAACATTGAAAAATAAATAAAATTATGATTACATATATATATATATACCTGTTAATCTGTAAATATTTCAAGGAAATTATATTTTCTTGAAATAACACAGTGTTATTTCAAGAAAATATAACAAAACTTGTTGCTATATCATTGAAAGTTTGATTTATATAATTTATTACTGAATAATTTATTTATATAAACATTTTTTTATTAAATAACATAAGATACTTGAATACATTATATAAAAAAGGTTAAAGTGTAGTTAGGTAAAACCGATGGCAGCACTTCCAGAATCTCAATGACAAATCTATTTTGTATTTTAATCTAGGTGTGTCTGTCAATTATTTCCGTGATTTCTAATGTCAATTGGTATTTAGATTAAATTTTTAACATTTTATAAACTTATTTGTTATTATATTATTAATATATTTCGTAGATTTGTTTCTTGGTGTTTGTATAACAAATTTTTTAGAATTTATATTTGATTTATTCATTTTTATTGTTGTAATAGCAGAATTAGTTAATGTACAATAGTTATTATTGCAAAGTGGATTTCAAAGGATTTCTTCAATTTCAGGAAAATCCAATTCTAAATAATGGATGTTGACAAAAGATTATTATTAGATGTTAAGTTTGCAATGAAGTTTGGTTTACAAACTGTAGATGCATATTATCTGAAATGTGATGGTTGTTGTACATTAATATATCGAAAGGATTGTAATTCAATTTTATTTTGATGTCACAAATGCAAGATAAGTAGTTTGCCATTTGACAGAACTTTTAAAGGTAAATTCAGGAAAATTTCATGGGGAACTATTTTCCTTTTTATTTGGCATCTAATTTGCATAGAGTGTATGTTGGACATGAACTGTTTGGCTGTGGGCATGAGTAATCATACAGCTGTTGACTGGGCAAACTATTTGACATGTTATGATGATTTAAGTATATAATTTATCACAAATGAAAATTGATGGACCCGGAAAAACTGTCAAAATAGATGAAACAGTTGTGAGTAAAGGAAAAATGAAAAAGGAAGGCTTTTGAAGGGAACCAGGTGGGTGTAGGTGGAATTTGTTGAGATGACAATTCATGTTTTGTATGCAAAGTAAATGACAGGTCAGAAGTTAGTGTTAATTGGGTTATAAGTAAATTTGTAAATTCAGGAAGTATTGTGTACACAGATTAATGGAAAGGATATAATCATATTGATGATTTAGAAGGAGTTGATATTAAGCATAAAACTGTGAAACATGCAGAAAATTTTGTTGATCCAGTTACCAGCATTCATATGCAGAAAACTGAAAGATTGTAGTGTAATTTGAAAAACCAGAAGAATTTGCATTATACTGAAGATTTGTCTTATTCATATTTATATGCTTTTATGTATAAGAAGATTCTGAGATGGAAAAAATTAAAATCAGGAGAACATTTTCAGTTGTTTGTTCAGCACCTGAGTAACTTATATCCAGGAGCTGGACATGCACTAATATGGAAAGAATCAGAAACTGCTTTCTGCCCCAAAAGCAATCCCTAAGAAATCAGAAAATCAAAAGAGGAAGAATGAAGAAATGTGGGTTAAGAGTTGGCAAAAGTGCCAAGTAAGATAAAACAAGATGTAGTTTCTAAAGATTTTGCAGAACCATGTTCTAATTCGAAGAAATTGAAGAAAAAGAAATAAAATAATGTTACTAGCAAATGCAAATTTTTTTCTTTAAAATATGGTGTTATTAGTAGTTTTGCTGTTTGCCATTTTGTTTGTGGATGTAGCATTCACAAACAAGATAGCAACTGGAAGTGCCACCATCAGGTTTACCTAACTACTTTTACCTAAAAAAAAATAATCTATGAAAATGGAATACATTAAAAATAAATTTCTATTATGATTGAAAACTGAAAAAACTTCATGGCAAACAATAAAAATCTCAAATACTGATATATAGATAGAACTTAGAGAATGTAATGCAACATGAAAAATAATGAATTGGAATGTCATAATGCAAAGTAAATGATAATGAATATAATGCAAAACAAATTGATGATAATTTCCTGATAAACATGACTTTTTGACAAGAATCATTTTACTTTGATATTTATTGCTGAGATGCACTGTTTATAAATAGAATGAAAATATATAATGTATTTGATATAATATAATCTTTCTACAAATTACAGTTTAAAATTTCAATACACATTTTTTAAATTTTAGCAATGTTTTGTAGTTAAAATAATCATCAGTTATCTGAATATCATACTTCATCTAAGATCTTACATACAGGTTGACAATATTAAACTGTCATAATTTCAGGTACCTGATGACAAAGATGCTAACAATAATGATTATGAAAGAGAAAAATGCATTTTCTTTTGAGAGAAAGTTTTAATCTATAAAATAAATCAGTATTACCTTTTGAGAATTTTAGTAAACATAATAGTTTAACAATTATATCAAATTTATAATTATTTTAAATGGTAATTAATATTAAAATTTAAAAAGAAATACTTCAATCTGGAAAGAAAAAAAATTTTTTCCTGCTGTAAACTGTGGTGCTACCCACAGGAATTGTTTATAATATAAAAATTTTATATAATTCATTAATTTTGAATAAATGCAAATAATTATCTTTGACATATAAGTTTCATCTAAGTTATTAAATCATAGGGTGATTAGACCAATGAATTACAATTTATTTTGTATGGCTGCTATTTTTCCTAATTAATCATAAGTAACTTGGATATACACTTAAAATATATTGTTTTATGGAATGATGATGTAACCTAAAACTAACTAAAAAGTAAGCTTGATCTTATAAAGGCAGAAAAACTAGTAAATGACCATCTGGTCAACCACTGGTAGGAAACCATATATTAGTATGAACCATCATCCATTACTCTAGTTCATTTGCTGTTAACTGGTCATTTACTGATTGGGTCATCCCTACTATATTTCAATAAAATTATAAAGATTTAAAAAAATATTAATTGTATTTATTTCATATATATATATTAAAGCTGGTGCAAAACATGACTGAATAAATGACCTCAAACACAGCATAATAGTAACAAAATAAATATTAACAAAAATTAATTTAAATAGGAGACATAGGGCTTTGACTATATAATGTTCTTTTTATTTAAAAAAAACTATAGGAATAACCTATATTGATGTTATAAATGGAACTAAAATAATACTGAACTAAAACTACAATCCTGGGGAGAATTCATTGTCTTATTCAAATAGAGAGGAAAAAGTATTCTCTGTGATTTAATGTCCTTGATCTGATGTCCATGTTGTCCATTCTAAACACTAACAATGATTACAATATATTTTTGGAAAAGATTCTGACAATGCAATTAACTTAAAAAAATCTATTCATTCAATTGAATATCAAACTTTAATCCATTAAAATATTACACAATTAAAAAATGGGAAATGCTAAAATAAAGTTTATAGAAATTATTGATTTGATTTAAGAATTTAACTAATTTTTTCATCCTATTGTTTGTTTTACTTTTCTTTTAATTTTTTCAACAAAAATCCTATAAACATATACTTTATAAGGTGAAAGACTATTTATAAACCACCTGAAAAAGATCAATCTCTGAAAAACTTGAAAAAACTTTTTGAAATTGATATTATATTTACCAAATGTAAAAATCAAAATTGTGCAGTGCCATATAATTTTCTGTAACAGACAGATATGAATTAAATTGGGTAATAAAAATATAGTTTTTAATAAATATAAAAATTTAATTATGTTCTCTTCCCAATAAATTCTATAAATAAAAACAGGAAAAAATATTAGATTTTAAAATGCTTCTGAATATAATAAGATATGATATTACATGGAATATCATATCTTATATGTAAGATGAATATTCCATGTAATGAAATAAAAAAATAATTATTTAAAGAATTTATTTTGAAATCAATAAAAATACTTTAAATTCCCTTCCATTATTTCAATAAATAGAATGCTTTTTTTATGACAGAATATTAATAAAATTAAAATCAAATTGTGGCTACCCTGGCAATCATTTAGATTAATTGTCAAAGATATAAATTTTTAAAGCTATTTTTCAGCTATTTGAATCTTGCAATAACAGTACTTTCGAAGATTAGGATGAGTGTCATATACACAATGAGGTTGGTTTCCATATAAATTAATGCGACTAATTTCTCTTTCTTGAACATTAAATGTTTTAGTTTCTATATTAAATTTAACAGAAGCCTCATATTTAGCTTTGCTAGGAAAAGCTACCAACTGAATTTGATATATAACTTCTGATACTTTTGTATTATCACTGAAATCTCCAACAAATCCATCTTTATCAGCATTTTTCTTAAATTTCAGTAATGCTTGATTTGGTGAAAGTTTCTCAGCACGTGTAATTTTATCAAGAACTAGCTGAATGCAGAGAGTACTAAACTGGTTTGTATAATTATTTATAAAATCTATTACTGCTTGTCCAGCTTTAATTGCATATCGATCTTTCACACTGATATCTTGCCACTCTAGACAAGTGCACCAGTGAGCTTCAATATCTGCATTGGCACATGTTCTCTATAAAACACAAAAACGTTTTTGATAAATTTAAAATCTAGATTACATTTGAGTTTAATGTTATTTACTTGTCTTATTTGAAATAAAAGTTGCCTTTAAAATTATTAACAAAAAAAGAAATCTGAAAATTAACTGTAAATTAAATTCAAGAACTTACTTCCAATGGAATTTCAGAGAACAGACTGATACTACGTCTCTGAATATCACCTACTTTTGGCACAGAAGGATGAAGCACAGTCATAAGAGTACTATAGATGTCAAAAGGAGTAGCAAGCTTATCAGTATTAGCTTTCAAATTTTTAAAGGCAATTGGATAAACATGTTGAAACCAGGGAGGCACAACTATAGAAAAAAATGGCAATCTTTCTTCTAATTTGCCTTGCTGAGTCTCACGTATGCTAGCAAATCTGAAAAACATATATTTTTATTAAATATCATTACATAAAATCATTTTCCAGAAGTACAGTCAATTCCACTTAATTGGGACATGTTGAGGCCAATCCATTTTGGCCCAATTAAGTGGCTGCCCCAATTAAACAAACTAATAATAAATTGGACTTCAAACTCACATTTGAGTTATAAATAAACACTTGGCTTTATTTCCATCATTTTTAGTTGATATGTGACAACAGCACGTTTCGGGCATAAAGCCCCTCATCAGTTAACTAATATATACAATTTTTAAAACATTACATAAAATATCTTACAAAACAGAATTAAAATAACATATGTTTCTTACCATATTCATTTTTAATCTGTTATACATACAAAGTCTTAATTGGCGCACACAACTTATTTTACAATAAGTGGAGTAATTTCAATAAAAATTTTTTATAAATGATTTTTTATATATTTTTGACAGTATCCAGGGGTCTGGATACTGTGAAAAATATATAAGAAAATCATTTATAAAAAATTTTTAATGAAATTACTCCACTTATTGTAAAATAAGTTGTGTACGCCAATTAAGACCTTGTATGTATAACAGATTAAAAATGAATATGGTAAGAAACATACGTTATTTTAATTCTGTTTTGTAAGATATTTTATGTAATGTTTTAAAAATTGTATATATTTTTTAGTTGACTGATGAAGGGCCTTATGACCGAAATGTGCTGTTGTCACATATCAACTAAAAATGATGGAAATAAAGCCAAGGGTTTATTTATAACTCAAATGTGAGTTTGAAGTCCAATATATTCGCAAAACACTGTTTCGAAAACAACATAATAATAATTTCTAAAATAAAATATGTAACACAGAAGAATAAATAAGTAGGTAAAAAAAATAATAATTAGGTACCTATTTTAATGCTTTATTAAACCAAAATATGTCATAAATTTGCCTGACTCATGACGATACATAACTGATTCGCATCACACTAGTGTTGCCAAATATTAGTACAGTAGAGTCCCAGAAACTCGGCCTAATGTGGACTGAAGGGTGGCTGAGTTTGTGAAAATGCCAGGTTATCAGGAATGGGATCAAAGAATAAGTATGAGTGTTTCCTCAAAAAATACTGTACTGTACTTGTATGTATTGTTTGCTTGAGAATACAACAGAGAATAAACTGCCCAAATACCCTTAAACAAAGGAAAAGTGCATACTTTATGAAGCCTTTACTACATGAAAATGAAAATTAATGAATACACAGTGTACAGTAATTTACCTGATAAGACAGACCTCAGAAAAATACTTTATGAGGCATAAAGCTGTCTATAATGAAAATTAACTAGACGACTTTGCAAAAACTGGTTACTTTTTTTAAAGAAATGCGTAATGTCCTGTTCCACAATGCACTCTGCGTTTTGCTGCTTCATCACAAAGATGACGAAGGAACAGTAAGTCCATTACCAATGCACCTTGTTCAAAATACCGAAGGGCGGTTTGGACAGCCTTTAGTCCCTCACTATGTGATATTTTAGGAGCTTGTACTGTGGAGTCCTCAACGTCAACGTCTTCATCATTTTCCGGCATTTTTTCATTAACTGTGACAGCAGCAATAATTTCTGCTAAAAATTGAATTTTGACTATTTACAAAAATTTTTTTAATTTTTCGAGTCTATCTTTCATCCTTTTAACACAGCACAGAAGTAACAGTATATTGGCTTGGATGAATTTCCACAGAACAAGTGATAAATTATAACGAAACACACACACAGTTAAAAACAATCGAAACGCCAACCTTTTATTTGAGGATGCGGCGTTTTTTAACATTAAAACAATGGTTACCATTTCTGACCATAACTACCATGTTCTTGAGCACAATATATAACAGGTTCAGGCCCTCTGGTGGTGATTTTGGGTAATCGTAAAGTTCATTTGCATAACAGCATACATGATAACATGAGCAACCCAGGATATTTTCAATTAAAAATTGAATTTTGACTATTTACAAAAAATTTTTTAATTTTTCGAGTCTATCATTTTTTCAACACACCACAGAAGTAACAGTATATTGGCTTGGATGAACTTCCACAGAACACGTGATAAATTATAACGAAACACACACAATTGTTTTAATGTTAAAAAACGCCGAATCCTCAAATAAAAGGTCGGTGTTTCGATCGTTTTTAACTTTGTGTGTGTTTCGTTATAATTTATCATGTGTTCTGTGGAAGTTCATCCAAGCCAATATACTGATACTTCTGTGGTGTGTTAAAAGGATGAAAGATAGACTTGAAAAATTAAAAAATTTTTTGTAAATAGTCAAAATTCAAGTTTTAATTGAAAATATCCTGGGTTGCTCATGTTATCATGTATGCTGTTATGCAAATAATTTCTGCATCGGACACAATGTCTTGCTTGGTATCATTCTGGAACCACTGTTCGACATCATTTTCATCGACTTCTGCACATCCAGGAACTCTTTTCAGGAGGTTGAGTAAGTTTAAATTTTCTGCATCATCATGTTCAACGAATTCATTTCCCTCGTGATCAAGGAGTTTTTGCCAGAAACGAACTAGTGTTAATGACTAACTCGTTCCAGGCATCTGCCACCCAGTCAACAACATCCAAGAGGTTAATTTTCTTTAAGTTCTGGATAAGACCTTGACCATCATCGTTTGCAGAAAGAAGGGAGGATAACAACTTGCACCAAGTTATCCGGACTGCCAGGTTATCGAGTGCCGAGTTTTCAGGACTCTACTGTAGTAACATACACAAGGATTAATAGTTTAATCTGTTCCTGATCAAACAATCTTTCCTTTCTCTCTTTTTAGTTAGAACGTGTCCAGGTTCATCCAAAACTCACCTTACAGCCTTTTTTTGAGCACAGTTTCCTTTACTTGGAGATGGGCCACTTCGGTGGGAGCATCCATAGAATCTGCCAGCTCTCGATGCTGGTCCCAACGATTGGATGGCTGCTGTTTGAGTCTAGACATAATCATGCACAAAACACCTTTTGAGAGAACTATAGCTGTCTTCCAACTTGGTCGAGAGATCTCGAAAAATTGTCTGGGGGAGTTGTCCATTAGCTTTTAAGGGAATGTCTGGTCCAATCCAGAGCAGGGTCAGTAACTAACATTCAGGTCTGCCTCAGACGGAATCCCGGTATGATACGTTCTGCTATGCCAACCCTCCTCTGAAAAAACTGAACTGCCCAAGCAAAAAACAAAATTGCTTTGTCTCCGTCAACTGTTAAGCCTACACAACATTAGTGTACGTAGTGTTGACATATTTTCGGAAGATCCATAACTAAAATATATCGAAAATTGCTAAATTCCTTTCCTGCTACTGTCCCAATTAAGTGAAAAGTCATCCCAATTAAGCATTTAAATTATATTTATTAATTTATTAGCTTGGTTTCCGTTTTAAGAGATTTGGCCCAATAAAGTGCTGCCCCAATTAAATGGAATCGACTGTAATTGCAACTACTTATGATTAATTCAGTATATATTAATAAAACAGAAATGAAGATCGAAAACAAAACTCAAAATTACCAGTTATAATATTTCTAAGTTAAAAAAAAAAACATGGCTATAAAAGCAAGTTAAAATTATAAAATATTAAAATTTTTTTAATATACAGGGTCTTTATAATTAAAGTTCCACTTTGAAATGGCCATAAAATGAAAACTACTGGACAAAATATTATCAAACTTGATAATAGTTTACAGGAAGTCATGGAATTTTATTCCCCCCCAAAAAAAACTCCCCACCAGCAGAAAATGGCACTGTATGCAATATTGTTGAATGAAATAAGACATGAAGACATCGGTTGAAAATGTTTTTAATCAGTTCTAAAATGTGTTACAAAGCATGTTCATGTGGCATCCACCATTTTCTCAAAGCAAGTTAAATTGCATTACTATCAGTATGGAGCAGTGTAAAATTTTAAAAAAAATCTCAAATTATTTAGAAAACATTGTTAAATAATTGTAATTAAAATACCTCTATTCAATTCTGCCTGGAGACAGATTTAGCAATCAAAATACAACCAATTTGGTATACTGATATTTCCAGAATGAGAGAAATTACAGTAGAGCATCGTTTATCCGAATCAATTGGGGACTGGGGTTGTTTGAATAACTTATTTTTTGGATAACCGATTACATATGAAAAAATATATTAACCTAGCCCATGTTAAAATTTTTCTCCATTGTGTGTCACTTCGTGTTGAATTTTTGTCAATGTTAAGCCTAACGTAAACTTTTTAAAATAATAATCGTAGCTATTGTATCATTAAAAATTATTTCTTTATTTTTTATAAACAAAATAAATATATTGAAAAATATAAAAACCAAAAAAAATATACTTTAGAAGTTGATCTAGTATCAAAAACATTCAATTCAGCACCACACACAGTCCTCGGGAAAAACACCACACAAAAGTGCCAGTGCTGCCAGCTAAAACACACACACCAACAAAAAAAAAATATTGGAGTAGACAAAGATTGCAGCGCCACAGCACTAGCGGAAATTTAAATTTGCCAACTGGAATGCTTTTGGTTAACCGATTTTCGGATAAACGACGCTCTACTGTAGTATCAAAACTCACGATTATGAATGGCACTGGCAAAAAACTCATTTTTGTTTAAAACACTCATCTATACAGAGACCTACTGCTTTATGTATTCACCATTCTAAAGGTATAAAACTTGAAGGTGATGAACTGTGTTCAATGGCAAACTGTAATTGATCTTCTGTGCCACTTCTCACATGCAGTGAGATGTCATTCAAGGCTGCTAAATTTGCAAAATCCTGATAAATCACACTTTTTAAATGTCCCCACGACCAAAAATCGTATGAATCAAGATACAACATGCCCAAAAGTGCTATAATTATAATAATTTTTGGTACTAATTTTTCTGTACTTGATTGCATTTATGCTAAATCTCTCTAGATAACATTGAATAGAAGTACTCTAATTAAAATCACTTGTATATCAAATACAATTCTCATTTAATGATTATATATGAACATTATTCATTGATTTTTCTGCTAATAAAGTTTTTGAAAAAAAAAAAAAAAAAAAAACACTAAATATTTTTAACTCTCTTAACTATAAATGCCAAAATTGCAAGAAAACATAACAGTGGATTTTACAGAAGGGAGAATGACCTGTCATAAAACTAGAATTAATAGAATATGACTGTCTCTAATTCTTAAATTTTTACCTATAAAATTCAAAATTCAGGAATTATAAACAAAATATTTCTGTAAAGCTTAATAAAATCTTACAACTGAAATAAAACCTTAATAAATCCTATGATAATCTTGTGACTTACCTATGCCCATGATCACTCATGAGAATTAATAGAGTATTATTTAAAATACCATCTTCATTAAGGCTTTTGATAAAATCATAAATATCTTCATCGGCATAACCCACTAAATTATAATCATCATGGCTAAGCTCTCCATGAAAACCAAATATAAATTTTGGTATGTCATAATATACATCAAAAAATTCTCGCAGCCATCTTAACATAAGCTAAAATAAATTAAAATATATTTTATTTAATGATAATATATGTATTTAATACAATAGATTAAATACCTGATGTCTGGGAATACTTCCAAGACAGTAAGGAGACTGTTTCCTCAAAATTTTATCAATTTCAACATAAAAGTTTCTCAAGTAATGATCTGTTGGTAAATCATTAAATCCTTTTAAACGATATGTAAATATACCTGTACTAGGAAGATCTTCACCAAAAGCTGTTACATAACCATGTTGTGAAAAGTTTTTCCATATGAAAGGATAAATGTTCACATAATTTGCATTTGACATTCGTTTACGAGTTTCAGGAAGTTCCCTCTCTGTAAATCCTGTTAAGATAGGAATAAGTGCTTGTGGTGTTCCATCTCCAACAATATTGTATCCTTTCAGTATAACAGCATCTAACTGATTTATTAAGTAATTATATGTTTTTGGTAATTTTCTCATATAATGTAATCTAGACATAGAATCTAATCCAAACATTAGCACATTTAATTTATGGTTATTTCCAAGTAATTTGTGTTGCTTTAAATGTTCAGTTTCTTTTTTGCGATGGACTCCAAACATGATGTTATTCCAATTTGCTCCATCAGACCCCTCACATTCAGCTGAAAACAAATCATCTTCTAGTGTTAACTCTTCATTTGTATTGAGACTGACTTCTTTACTTTTGGCATTACTAAAATCATCTTTTCGTTTCATGTATGTAATTTTGCATTTTATACTTCCGTGCCTTTTTATAGCATCTTTATTTACATAAACCAAACCATTTTTAACAGATAACCAATCAAGTTCTGCTTTACAATATAATTTTCCAACATCTTTAATATGCCTATTAAAAAACAAACAACTATTTTATTTAACTATGTACTGATATAAAACTTATTAAATGTACTGAATAAAAAACTTAAAATGCATTTTTTTAGACAAAAATTAATAAAGATAAAAATGTAAATTTTATCCAAGTTAATAATTTTTAAATTATAAATATATAACAACAGGTAATAAATAAAAATTATATTGGCAATGTTTAAGCACTTAAAAAAGTGACTAGCTAACTTATGAAAAGATTAAAATTTATCTTTAAGCTACTAAAAAATGTTTATTGGTAACTTATTGAATTCATTGAAACAGAACTTTAAAAGCTCAAGAAAAAAGGCAAAAGGCATCTTAGAATGACATATTTAGAATTTATCATTAGGTATTAAGATGTTAAAATTTTTTATAACTAAATATAAAAATGTAGTAAAGAATAGCAAAGTCATATCCCCTTTTAGAGTAGCATATTTTGTCAAATATGCCTCTAGTATCTTGAAATTGTGATTTTAAAAAATTTGAATCTGTTAAAGTTTTGTTTCACAAAGACATAAGCAGTATATATAAAAAGTTGAGTATTTTATCAATAGCAATCTGAGTTCATGTTCAATAAAATCTGAAATCAGTCTTTATGACAAAATAGTGACAGAATTATAATGGTACTGAGTAGATTAGTTGAACCAGAGCCCAGAGCTAACGGGTCCAAACATATCAAGCAAAAATCACCAATGGTTTAGTCAAGGCTAAAGGCTTTTTGGAGGATGCCTAAGTCCTGTCCTTTTTGGCAAGGGATCCTTAGAATTTTGAACCACAGCCTAAAGTTGTTCCACCTCTGCAAGCAAAGCTCTTTTCCTCAAAATATAAAGATCATTTCAGAAGTTGAATATATAAATAAACTATTAGTCTATGTATATATTTGATCAAAGAAAATTCACATTGTATCATATTTTATGTTTGTAATGTGCTATGTACAAATAATATACAAATAGATTTAGAAAAATCTAACAAATATAGAAAGGATAAATAAATTTGTTTTATAATATTTACTGAATTCCTATTGAATATATTAAGTAAAAAAATTCACTTAGTTTTATTAGTTTTTTTAAATGGCATTATTTGTTATAATGCTATAAACAATAACTGCACAATATCAAATCTATAGTTGTAAAATGCATTAACAAAATTTAACTACTATGTAGCAGCTGTTATCTCAGATACTTCACAATACAAACGTATCTCAAATACAACTTTAGATAATAAAACAAACACAAGTTATTTCCATCTAATTCCCATAACTTTATAGAAAGTTTAATAAGTTTGTAATGTAGCTCTTAAAAATAATGTTTTAAATTATAAGGATGAAGTAATACTAACATAGAAAAGTCAGGTTTTTGAAACACTAGGGTACATTCATCTATTTATTACATTGTATAAAAGTATTTAAAGAAGAAAACAATGCCAAAGTAAATAAAAAATAGAATTTAATTCCTTCTTTTTAACTCCCTATTCTAAATTCCTAGTTTTGAAGGTCTCCAAATACCATCATAGGTGTATGTAACTCAAACTGCCAATTAGCATTTTCATCTCATCTACATTAGATGAATATCATTATAATAGTTTAAAGAATGATTTAAAAATTAAACATTTTTTTTTTAATTTTTACTGTATTATTTTAACTAAAGTTCTACTTCTGATTAAAGTCTTAATCATGTCAATTTCATTAGTTTTCAATACTACAGTTCCAGCATATTGGCAGTTAGTCACTAATATTGTTGGAGTTCTAATATTGTTGTCACTAGGTGGTGTTGTATGAACTATATAACCTCTTTGTTCATGTAGAGATGACCTCTTCTTTTGTACAGTAACCACGTGTGTGCTCTCTCCCCTTTGTTACACTTGGTCTAGTGACTATGTCTATGTATTGTAGATAAAGTACTATGTAGATATTAGCCTGGATATATTTTGTAAGTTAATAAACAACAAATATTTGCTAAGAAAGTTTAAAAATCCTGGTCTAAGTAATAAAGGCAATTAACAGATTAAAATATAGATATTACATAAAAATATTGAATTCTTTGAAGAACTAAAATTATTATGAAATCAAAAATAGAACTTTTGGGTAATCTTTATAAAAATGTAACAAACAATAGAACATTCACTTTTATCATATATTTAACTAGTAAATGTATGATAAAATTTTAGTAAAAACTAAGTTTCATCAATCTGAAAATGTTCATATTCTAATAAATATAAAATTTATATACATACGAGGGCTGTTCGGAAAGTTCGCGGCCTCACATAGAAAAACAAACAAAATAATGTTAAAACTTTTTTTATTTTTCAATGTAATCTCCTCTGTTAGCAATGCACTTATTCCAGCGATGTTCTAGCTTTTTTATGCCATCACAATAGGTCGATTTGTCANTGAATATCTCATTTATTAATTAAAAAGTTAATAGAATTAGTAAAATTAAGTAAGCTCCCTATGAAAATGAAGCTGATAGATGGCAGAGGATGTTAGACTGTAATAATTTTTATTAGAGCTTTTTGCTTTAAAGTTGTAAATTTGAAAAAAAAAATCAACTTTTTAATGTTATTAAAATCACAAAACTACATAAAATATAAGTAAAAAAAAATTTAAGTGGCAGAAATTTTATATTGAAATTTTTTGATACAATTTTATTCCATCAAAGCATTATGAAATACACCAAGGCATAACTTTGCATCATTTCAGTTTGCAACATTAAACAATTAATACCAAAATTTTGAGTTGAGTTGTAATATTCCCATTTGCATCATTGTGATATTACTAGCAATTACCGATTCATAATTAGGTGACATTGAGCATTATATTGAGACCAGCCTTCCCTGAAAGTATATATGGATGATATTAGAACTATGAAGAAAGACTAATAGCCACAACTGCAATTTTAATATACATTAGGACTAGCTACTATTAGTTTTCAAATACTGAGCAAATAACTGATTTTATCACTGATTGGTTTGGCAATGCGAGTCTGAACAAAAAAAAAATATCAAAAAATTGAATTCTCATTTTCTGCTGCATAATCATGTCCCAGTTTGAACAGTGACTGATAGGTTGCATATTTCTTCAAACTAACCAAACCCATGCATAGTGTAATTTCAGGCATACAGGATGCGGCACCAAAATCCAGACAAATTACACATTTTTTCCAAACATATTTTTTATTGCAAAAAGCAAAAAGGTATATAAATTTTTTTAACTGCATTGTTTGTAAGATCATAAAGAATACATTTACTCAATATATCCCCCTCCTGCTTGAATGATCACCTCAATTCTTGATCTGAAACGTGCACAGGTGCACTTTAATGTGTCACGGTCCATATCGGCAAATGTTGCATCAATAGCAATCTCAATGATGAGATGTTTGGATGTCTGGACTTGTTCGTCACCCTTTCAACTATGCTCCATACATAGAAATCCAAAGGATTCAAATCTGGGCTGTCCAACAATCCAACAATCAATTTTGCACCAAATGACATGTAAGACTTGTAGCAAAGGTCCTCTTCAACAATTCTATGCATAGTTTTCTTGCTCACACCAACAACCAACGACAATTTTCAGATCGACTGACCTGGATCCTCAAAAATCAGCTCCTGAGTCCGTTGAATGATTTCGGGCATCCTGACAACATACTCCTTCAAGTGAGTTTTCCTCACCAGTGTTGTAAAACCTTCGTTGGACTTCTCATTGTACTGTACTTTGTGACGACATCATACACAGTCAATCTCAGGTACCCGAAGAACTGAATGATTTCTGTCGCCGAGCGTCCGGTATGAACACTTTCGATAATTGCAGCTCTTTGGTTATACTCTGCACTTGGTTTCAACATTGCAACTGTTAAGGTTGTGATGGTTTAGTACGTGTGTCATGCTATCTGAATGCCAAACACAACATCTACTGATGGTATAGAACAGCGGGAATTTGAAATTGAATTTTGTCCAGATTTTGGCGCCACATCATGTATGTTAACTTATGGTAATATCTATATCACTTTCCTGAGTGAAGACTGGTACCTCAGTATTAACTATAATGAAATTTTAGAAGATTATACTTATTTGTGTTTTTTAATAGAACAAGTGTCCAACTGATAATGAAAATTATCTCTTAAATTTTGTTTTAAAAAAATTTTATATTCTATATTACCAATTTTAATTGTAATAAAGTTTAAATTATATTTTAATATTAGAGGCAGTCAAATGAAAACAAGACAGACTACATAACAAGTGTGGCACGGAAGTTGGTAATGCAGGTAGGTGTGTGTATAGAAGTGCCCTCAATTGGGAATTGGGAAGGAACAGCATGAATGTTCACCGCTGTGCCATTTGTCTGTTAGACGTGCTCGAAGGGAGGTCGGTGAGTTGTTTGTGCATCCGACATCACTATGGAGGCCCGCTGCTCATTGACTTTCTGGAACACAGTGCCACAATTAATGCACAGCGGTACATGGAAACTTTGCAAAAATTGAAGCGTGTCGTCAAATCCAAACACCCAGGAATGTTGACAGACAGCATCATTCTGTTACAGGATAATGTCTGCCCACATGTTACAAAGGTTGTTTTGACTACACTGCAGAAGTTTCGCTGGGAAGCCCTTACACATCCTCCATACAGTCCCGATTTCTCCCCATGCAATTTCCATAGTTTTGAAGCCCCGAAGAAAGACATTCATGGCCGTCAATTTGCTTTGGACAAATAGGTGCACGCCTGGGTACAATCATGGTTCTGTAGGCAACTGCAAACATTTTTCTATGAAGGCATTGACCATCTTGTCTCACAGTGGGATAAATGTATTAANTTGTTTCCAAATTTAATTTTTAAGAAAATAAATTATTTATCCATCCTTGGATGAAATTATATTCTCAACAGGAAATATCAATCACTTTTAAAAGGAATGAAAATGTCTTCTCTCAAATTAGGATTCATTAACTGTATTATACAGTTTGTTATTCAAGGTTCAAAATTCGA